CCCCTCCCCCTCCCACTCTCCCTCTCATTCCCTCTCCCTCTCTTTCTCTCTCCTGCTTTAGCCTCCCAATTGATTATAGACATGCACCACCATGACTAGTTCTGAATTTTTACTTAAAAAATGGTTGATATATGTTACACACTTCGTTCCCCAAGTTGCATTTCAATTTCTTAATACATCTTGGGATCTTCAAAGCTTCACTTCAGTCAAGTCATGGTACTCATTTTAAATAAAATTTGAAATGTCCTGGCTCAGTTAGGTGCTGTTCCTACTAGCTAGTTGGTTAATAGGTTGAATAAATAGAAATAATGCAGTTAAATGAGAAATGTATAAAAATTGAGAAGAAAAAAGAGCTGATATTCAGAACTAATAATTTCTTAAAAATACATTTTCCAATTTATGAAATGGCTATGCTCCAAAAGTTTGTAAGTCCATTTTTTGGAGGACTTTGCAAGACAGGCCTTCAAGAATGCTTGTTTGTATTCAGCAAAAAGAATAAAAAACCTCTTAAGTTTTATTGAGTATTTGGTTGTTTGTAAGTTACTTATACATAGGAATTGTTATTCATTGTTTTTCAGAATGATAGGACTAACTGTCGGGTTTGACAAAAAGGACATGATGGATGTAAAGTACAGGAAAGTCAGAGATGGTTCTGTAACCGACGCGATCTTTCAAGAAATGTATATTTGTGCAAGTGTGGAGTTTCTGCTGACTGTTGCCAATGTCTTTCTTGAGGCCTATACCACAGGCACCATTGTAGAAAACACTGTTCAGACATGGACTACTAAGGAAGAAGGTTAGTTATCAGCTAAACTATTTGATATCTGTATTATTGAAATGCTAAATCAACATTTTACTTGGATTAGCCACAGATAAGATAAAAGTAAATACATTAATAAATTAAAATCTTAATTTTTTCACTGGAGGAGAAAATTTTTTAATGTATTTTCTGGGAGGATATGTAGTTTACAGTTTTTTTAAAGTACAAATATATATTGGGTTCCAAATTATGAGTCCTACATTGGGATAACTAATTGTATTTTTCTACAGGTGGTAATTTGAGCAAATTTACTGGTACAAGAAAACAAGCAAGGGGAATAATGAAACAAGGACTCATTTTTATAATTAAAGATAGTATTTTAGTTTAAGGAATTCATTTATTTTTATTTGTAGCTTTTAACTTGACATACAGTTTTTCTATTATCTTTCTATATTTTTCATTCATTGTGATACAGTACAGTGTCAGGTTAAGAGTTGAAAACTGCTAGATTAGATTCCAGCTCTGCTATTCATTAGTGGAGTTTTCCCTCCATCTTTTAAAATGTTATTATGCCTGTAACTTCTTTATTCAAAGAGGTGCAATTTAATGGTAGAGTATGTATTTAGCATGCCCTATGTTCTGGATTCTATTTCCAGAACCACAGAGAAGAGAGTTGTAGTAGATTCCTTTAAGTTCTAAGATTCATTAATTTTACCTTTTACTTAGAGTGAAGCAACATTTTCTTATAAATAGTAAATTATTCAAAAGTACTCTATATAGTAAATGTTTATATATTAAAACATTTTAATTTTGATTTTAGTGCCTTTACAGGAATCAGAAAAATGGGAAGTTAACATTCTTATTAAAAATCCAGAAATTGTGTTTGTGGCTGACATGACAAGTAATGATGCTCCTGCTTTAGTCATTACAACACAATGTGAAATTTGCTGTAAAGGTGACCTTGAAAACAGTACAATGACTGCCGCCATTAAAGATCTCCAAGTCAGAGCATGCCCATTTCTTCCAGTCAAAAGAAAAGGCAGAGTTGCTACTGTGAGTTTACTATTATCAGCTTAATTGTAAGGCATTTTGAATTTGCTATATTATACCACATTAGGCAATGTAAATTACCTGCATTCTTTCTAACCTTCCTGTGCACAATATTTTTCTTTTTGCTTAGCCCCATTTAAAATGCTATTGTACTAGATTTTTTTTTGCAAACCATTTATTGATACATTTAGATATAATGTATATAATGATAACATTCATCATAGGGAATTTGTACCTGTACATAATATAATTTGCTTCTTCTTTTTTCAAATTCCTCTTTCTCTAGATGCTCTTCAACATTTGTGTTGGTAGAAATATCTCACCAAGAAGTTGGTTTCACTTTGACACTTTTCAACTAAGATCTTACTCTGACTTTTTAACCATATCAATTTCAAACTGTTCTTTGATCTTTAAGACTTTCTACCAGTTAATATTGCTATTTCAGTTTTATTGTTTTAATTTATTTTGTTATTTGGATGCTTTTGCTTAGATAAGTTGTTTTTGATAGTCTCCATGTGTCTTACTTTCTTATTGCTAGGGCATAGTATCAACACCACAAGTTAAAGGAGGAAACTCACAGTTTATACAGGTTTATTTTAACTCACAGTTTATATAGGTTTCCATCCAGTCACCTGGCTCTGAAGCAGGGCAGCATGGCAGAGGGGCATCACAGAGGAGAAACAGTCTTTGGCAGAGTAGGCAGGAAAAAGCAGCCAACTTGCATTACATCTTTCCGTTTATACAGTAAATCCCCAACTTACAAATGAGTTTTGTTCAGAGAACATTTGTAAGTCGGATTTGTTCTTAAGTCCGTCAGGGTCTTATATACCTTTGACACAAATATACAATATAAAGCCTAAAAGAAACAAAACACACACAAATACTGTAAACTATTTTTACAGTTACCTTAAAATGGGGATTTAGGTTTAGGGTGAGCTACCTCCATGATTTGTTACATCTGTGAATATTTGTAATGCAAATGTAATGTAATATTTGTAATGCTCATATCTGTGAAAGTTCACAATTTGAATGTTTCCAAGTCAGGGACTTACTGTATTCCATCCAGGCTACAAATTTAGTAGTTAGTGCTACTCACACCCAGGGTGGGACTTCCCATTACCCACACCCAGAACAGTGCTAATCCAGTCAGTGGACTCATTTGATTACCACTCCCTTAATTCATATTCCTATACTCTTAATACACATTAACACCATAGATCCAGACACCTCTGAAAAGCCCCACCTATGAGCACAGGAGGCTTTGAGGGGACATCTAGATATAAGCCATAACACTATGTAATTTATTTCATCCTTCAACTATTTGCTTTCACATACTTAAATTTATTCTCTAGCAACTATTTGTCCTCCTTCCTCTTCAAAACTTCTAAGATTCATCTTTAAAAATTGGCTGTAATTTTTAAAATACTCAAAATGTCCATGTTACTAAAGGAGTACTATACGCTATAGGTTATCAAATAAAAATATAAACTGTAATTTTGTTTTAAGTAAATAATATATATTAGTTAGGGTATAAAATAAACTGTTGCCCTGGTTTGCAAGGCTAATGGTTCATCACTAAGGAAAGAAAGTAAATAGGGTATGGAAGGCATACTAATTCTCTTAAATGATGACATAGAATTTTAATATATATTTTTTTCTGGTATCATCTTTTTGGCTTAAACACAGCTGTATGATCACAATAGAGGTTGGAGAATATACTTTTTATTCTGAATGACTTTGTTTTTGGACAAAACTTCTATTACTATACAAGAAGAATAAAATGATACTCGTGGTACGTGTACATCACACATCTTAATTCTTATTTTTTATCCCCTCCATTACATTCCTTCCCCTTCTTTCCATCTCTTGGTCCACTTCCTATGTGCAAAAGATTTGTGTCACTATTTCATATTATCTCTTATTCTGCTTGCAAGCAGTTTGTATCTCCAAGAAAAGCATTTGGCAAAACTTTGCTTCCTTGTGCAAACTCCATATCAAGTGATAAACGTGACCATAGTCATCTTCTCCATACAAACACAAATGCAGCCATCTTCCCCAAGATAGTAAAACAAATTAAGTTTTTTTAACTGAAGTACCATTGTGTTTATATTTTGGATTTTTCTTATAAATGAAACCATGTGTCTGATTTATTTCACTTAACATTATGATATTAAGGTGTATCCATTTTCTTGCAAATGATTCAAATTTATCATTCTGTATGCCAGAGTAGTATTCCGTTGCATGCAAATACCATATTTACTTTATCCATTCATTGAGGGACATGTGGGCCACTTCCAAGATTTAGCTATTGTGCTTTATGCTGCTATAAATGTATGCTTGTATCACTACATGATGATACAGATATAGGTATCATATAGTGATGACTTCACTATATGATGTCTTTAACTCCATTTTTCATGTTCTCTTGTTTTTAAGGTATTTCTCAGTAATTAGTCTTTGAAAGCATCTTTTTCCTCTAATTCTGATATTCTGTCCTTCCATTGTTTGTTTCTGTTACCTGTACTTTGAAAATAAGTTTTAATCTGAGTTTCTGTTTGGAATCTTTCCATGGACTCCAAATTTTTTTTTTTATTGTTTGGTTTCTTTTATTTATTTACTTTTTTTCTGAGACAGAGTCTCAGTATGTAGCCCAGGGTGGCCTCGAATTCATGGTGATCCTCCTGCCTCAGCTTCCTGAGTGCTGAGATGATAGGTGCACACCACCATACCTGGCTCATGGACTCTTAATTCTTTGCTAAACTTGTCATTTATGTTTGGTTCCATTTTGTTTAGCTCAGATAACTTATTTTGGTATTTTGAGATAAGGTCTCACTATCTAATTGAGGGTGACCTTGAACTCACTATGTAGCCCAAGCTTGCCTCAGAGTTGTGGCAATTCTACTTCAGCCTCCTGCACCACCATTCCTGTCTTTAGCTAGTTTTTTATTAGTGTCTTTTGTAAGCTCCCTCATCATTTTATTATGTCCATTATATATTTGGTTATATCGTTTGTCACCCCCACCCCAGCACCTTATTGGTCTTTTTTAATCTCCTCTTTTATCCTTTCGAGTAATTTGGCAGTATGGCTTTTGCTCTGCACCTCCTTAATGGAGTTTTGGGAGGTATTTTGTTGCCTTGTGTTCTCGTATTTCTATTGTTTTTTGTTTCTTTTGTTGTGCATAGGTCTGCGATAGCCTATATTGCAAAGACTTTGTTACTAGTATGGAGACCTCTTTTGTGTGCTTTTCAGTGATGCAATCAGGACATGGCTAACCATAGTCCCAAAATACCACCATCTCTCTTAATTTGGGAGTGGAAAATGCAATTTAAGTAGCCTAGAACCCAGTTCTCTGGGAATGAACCCTGGTACTGTTAATGTCACAGAGGTAATCTGGGTATTGCCATACAGAGAAAACCAGTTAGTAGCAACAAGTAACAGTGTAAAATAACAACTGGCCCTAATAAGATCAACAATAATATCATCTGAGATAAACTGGATATTGACATACCATAAAAACTATTAGTGTACCACCTTTAACCTTAGAAAAGAAACCTATAAACATTAAATAAACCAAATATTGACATACCACAAATATCTACTAAATGTGACAACTATACTTCTACTAAAGAAAAAAATTCATCACTAATAACAGGTTAACTATCTAAAGATGATTACTGTTTATATTATTAAAGATATATAGGGGTGGGAATGGGAGAATACAAGAAGAAAAATTTGAAAAGTTAAACACTGGGAGCTGGCCATAGTCTACATACCTGTAATCTCAGAATTCTGAGGCAGAGGCTGCGATAGGATCACTGCAAGTTTGAGGCCAGCCTGGGCTACATAGTGAGTTGAAGACCAACCTGAAGTACATAGTGAAACCCTGTCTCGAAAAAAGAAAAGAAGAGAAACAAAATGAAACAGTAGGAGATGAGAAGGAGAGAAAAGTGACAGGAAGGATCCTACTAAGGAGTAGAAGGTTGTTTCTGGAATTCGATAAAGGTAAAAAGAAAATGAGAAATAGAACACAAAAGAAGAAAGGAAAAAGTATATGGAAAATATAGAACATAGAAGAAAAGGAGAAAAAAGAATATGGGAAATAAAAACAAAAATTAAAAGGAAGAAAAAAAAGGATAAATGAAAATTTCTCAATCCCCAATAAACCAGTGAAGAAGAAATAAGAGAAGAAAGAAGGGTAAGGGTTCCAAAAGTAGAAAAAAATTCTTTGTATTTTTGAATGAATGGTTTCCTTCCAGTACCCACAGTTTTAGAGTACAGCAAGTTATGATTTTCTCCACCTCACCTTAGGGCCCATAGGTTTGTAAGGTACAACCCCTATTCCAGAGACACCCCCTTTTTATTCCAGGTTGTGGCAACGTCTCAGCTCATATTGGGAGATCGGGAAGTCAGTCAGACCTCCAATCTGTGCTAGACGTAGGCTACAGGAAATGGTTCAAGTGCTTAATGCCAGTACTTTCTGGGCCTAGCTTCCCACCATGGGGGTGGGACCTGTGTCTTTCCAGGCCTGAGCTTAAACATCGTGGGTTTTTCTAGCCCCATGTCTGCCTGTGGCTCTTTCCCATGACTGTCTCTCACCCAGTCACTGGGAGGGTAGCACTAGGAGCCCTTACTTCTAGGGAGTGATCTTCCACTCTCTGTGAAGCACATGGCAGGTAGAGTCCAGATTGTTTCCTTCTTTCTCTGTGTTGCCGACCATCTTTCCAACTATCCTAGCTTTCTAATTTTTCCTGTCATTTACTTCCCAAACACTTGATGATGTACGTCGCTTTTTTTATTAGCCAAGTTGTTATTTTCCAGTTTATGGATTCCAGGTCTTAGGCTGAATTTTGCTGCCAATCGCCACTCCTCCATTTTCCTCTTCCATAATCTAATTTTTAAAACAAGTTTCCCTGTCTGTTTTTGCCATCAGTTGCCAGAGAAAGATTAGAAGACACAGTCTTATCTCTTCCCTAGACTCCTATTTATATCTGGAGTCTCTCTT